CAGCCTGTGCTGAAGTCCTTGCACTGGCTTCCAATAGCGTTCCAGATTCGCTTCAAGGTGCTGGTTTTGACCTTTAAAGCCCTTAATGGTCTGGGGCCTCCCTACCTGAGGGACTGCCTTTCCCCATATGTTCCCCCAAGGGCACTGCGATGGGGAACGCAAAGCCGTCTAGATTAGCGGTAACTAGGACCAGAGAATTCTCCCTGGTGGCGCCAACGCTGTGGGACGAGCTCCCTCAGGAGATCAGAGCTCTACCTCCAGCAGTTCCATAGAGCAGTTAAAACAGAGCTATTCCGCCAAGCGTTTCAATAAGAACTGACTATGCCGGTGGTGTCGCACTAGCACTTTATCACAGGATGTATTAGCTGGAATTTTATGGAATTGTATTTTATGTTTTGTAATCGCGGGTTATAACTGTATGTTGGTTTTAAATGGTTTGTAAGCCGCCCTGAGCTGCTTTGGTGGGAGGGCAGGGTAGAAATTTAATAAATAAATAAACAAATAATAAGCTGCAGAGGAAATTAGGTGGGTGGGAGAGGGAAAAAAGGGAAGAGGCTGCCAGGAGGTGGGAAGGACGCAAAACTCAGGGGCAGATAAAGGTAGCTTGGGTGGTGGGTGGAAGAGAAGGAAGTAGGAAAAGGGAAGAGGCTATGGGGGCTTTCAGGGAAGGGAAGGAGGAAATACAATGAGAGGAGAAGATGAGATCCCCCCCCTTCAAGTCCCTGTAGGTCCTTTGTTTGTACGCTCATATTTTGAAAGGTCTGCTTGTGACACGTCTTTTAACTAGCTTTTAACTAGCATTTAAGCCTATTAAATAGCAGATAAGGAATTTCTTATTAAACTGATACTGTAACAATGGAATTATATTTTACTCCTTGTTGAAAAATTAGGAAAGCTAGAAAAAAGCTTATTTCTTTTCTTTTAAATTTTGATATCATACTATAAAAGCACAGAAAAAGCAAAGTATGTTATTTTCAGGCCCATAGTGTGAAAGTTATGCTCATGGTGTTTATATTTCACAATACCTGATATTAACAAAACAAATGATAGTCAACACAATCAGGCCCTTTGTATCATCTGGAAAATCACATTGGAGGGATGATGTACATGGTAGCCCCCCTTCCTCCTTCATGGCACCCTGATATTTCTTCATTCTTCTTAAAATCTTTTTCCCCCCAGTACACATGAAAATGCTGTGGAGACACTGTTCTGTTCTACCAATATGTGGAATGGCAGTGTCCAAATCCTAGTGTACTCCAATACAGAAATAACTCTGCCATCCTATTATGTCTATGGCAAAGCATAGGTCCCATTCCAGATCCAGGCTGGCTGGAGACTGCTGACTATTATTTATTTAGGCCACTTTCAGACTGCTTCATAATTAAAGTTCTGAAAGTGGTTCATAAAAATAGAAACAACACCATTATTTATTTATCTATTTTTGCGGGGATT